TGAAGAAGAAGAGGAGACGGCTTGGAGTGCTCGTACCAAGGCTGTCAGTTTTAGGTCGACCTACCACCTAACCAGCGCAGAGTGAAGTGAAGCCCGGAAGGGATCGAACCAAGAACTATCGAGTACAGTCCTATGATCCTGCTCGTTGTTAGCTCTTCGCGGAGCTGACAAATTATTGTGAGTGGCGGGAGGGGTGCAATCGTGGATTTCCAACACGACAACTGCCGCGACCCGGGACTTCGGTTGACCTTCTGTACTGATAAGTGTGTTATTTTGTAGGTTCGACTACGAGCCTAGAAGTGAACATAAAGCAAGCGACAATGGCGAAAGGATCAAGTTATGCGGTACCAGCGACGCCGTCGAGAGGCGGGGACCGAGCCGACTACGACTCGACTCCTGGTACGGAAGACCTGGTGACGACTGGGCGATCCGTTAGCTTCGAGGACACGGAGTTTGATCATGACACCAAGGATGAAGACGATTACGTCGACGATGAGTTGGAGGACAAGGCACCCGTCCAGGAGCCCGAACTCCACGAATATGCAGATGTATTTGTGAAGAAGTGTGGTGACGTGAAGTCGCTGCCACGCAACCTCGCAGACGAATTCGAAGAAGCAGGCAAACCAGAGCCTGCTGATGATGATATTGACGAACTTCATGACGACTTGAAGAAGTCATCGACGATGACCCGCGGCGCGAGTCAACTCACGACGAAGAAGGATGGACCCCCCCGCCGTAAGACACTCTAGTTGCGAACAAGACACTTGGACAATGCTTGAACGTGATGCTGGATACCAGCAGTTGGATCCAGCTGTTTGCACCGAAGGCAGCGCGACAGGCCGTGTGGACCGAACTCGTCGAAGAGCTCAGTCATCCTGTGAACTCGATGAGTACAAGCCAAGTAGCTGAGGACACTGTATCGGGGTTACACGAAACTCTAACCGTAACATTAACCGGTTAGAGTTAGAGGTTTCACGTCTTGGTGTGTTCATACACCAAGACTGCATTTGAAGGGATCCTATTGGTAGAGTGCGCCACACCTCTACCAATCAGCGATGTGCGACCCGCTGACAGTCCCTTATATATTTGATAATCAGTTTAGGAAGGAAACCCTTTAAACAAACAATACAGTTCTCATTTTACGCTATATGGTTCCTATCTTGTCTTGCCGTACACTCGCATCGTGTGTACGCCATACAACCTAGGAACACCTACGCTTCCTCCTACACGTGCGCACACATGTAAAGTAATTAGTGAGCCCTAGGCCCACTACACCTGGTAGCACTTAGTAGTCCGTGCAACGACCGACTTCACTGCTCGTATGACTTACAAACCGGGCAGGAGAACCTTCCGATGTACGGGTTGTCTGTCGGAACCCCCAACACAGCTGTGACGCATGTGGTGCGTGCAGACTGCCTCCATCTGGCAAATCCAGAGTGGGAGGCGCTCCAACGACTGTCAACGGTCATTGGAGAGGAGGCCGTAGCGACCATGCTACGCACGCTATCGCCGACAGAGCAACACCATGTTGCTCTGGGATTCATCTTGAGCGAGCATCGCGAGGTTGCTGCCGTGAATACAGGGTGACATCGCGGAATGAGTATCTGAAGTTACACGTGAGTAACTACGAAGGCAAAGAAGATGAGACCCTTCTTCGTTCGCTTGTCGAACTCGACACTGCCATTATGGCTCGACGTATTGTCGACCCACTGTCGAAGGTTGCCTTCGCCATGTCTTGTCTTGGCGGACGAGCGCGGAATTGGGCCTACGGGCGCCTACTCACCGATCCTACGTGCTTCGGCACGTACCAGTCCTTCACGAAGGAGCTCAAACTTGCGTTTGAGCTCCCGAAGAATGAGTTCCGATCGAGAACTGAGAAAGTTCTCCGCCGTGAGGCGTCGAGGTGACAACAGTGTGTCAGCTCTGGGAGTTTCGACACACTACTCCGCCGTAAGGCGTCGAGGTGACGACAATGCATCGACTCCGGGAGTCGATGCGACAAGCTGTGTGGACAGTTGCAAACGTCCAGCACTGAAGCTTGCGTGCTGTCGTGCATCCGGGCTGCATGAAGCAGGGCGCATCAAACCGGGCTTGATGACGCGTGCTCGCGGGTACAAGAACCCGCCGGCGATCGCCCGCAGACTGGAATGTCCGCCGGTGGTATCACGAAACATTCGTCCATGACCGAGTCTGGACGAAACACAAGTGAATGCGGGATTCACAAGAAGAAACGACGGCGCAAGCACAAGACGCTGCGCAAGTCTCGGTCTGGGACCGAGACTCTTCATGGTATGTCTGCCGGGCAGACACAAGTGCGAACAGTACGTTGAACGTCTTAGAGCCGACAGTGGCCGTCGAGACGTTGAACGTCTTGACGCGGGCCTGTGCTGGGTACCAGTACAAGAAGATGGAGTTGGAGAACCCTCCGACTGATACGTCGGAGTTGATCTCGCTTTCAGTCATTAGCTGGAAGCGTTTCGCAAAGGACCTGTACGATGGACGCATCGAACAGCTATGCATTCTTTCGGACGCCGAAAGAATGTCAAGCGAAGCGGAGGAGTTGAAGCACTCTCCACTGGAAGCACCACTGAGAATGATGATACTCTCAGTGGTAAGACGAAGCAGGAACGCTTCGACGAGCAGAGTTGCAAGATTTTGCGAGAGTACAAGGATATGCTCTCGGACGAGACTCCCGCGGATGAAGTATCCCGTCGTGACAGAGGCTACTGTCGCGGGATCAAGCAAGGTGCGCGACGCATTGCTTGTGCTCGGTGCGCGACTTCGCACCGAACGGCTTCTACATGATATTCGTTCACAGCCGGGCTGTGGACGGGAAGAAGAAACGCGCACGGAAATGGACCGCTGCGTTGTCGCAGCCGTTAGATGCGGCCAAGCTGGGCTTGCCTGCTGTGCCGATTTTGGCAGTGGTTGTCCAATATCGTCCCTTTTCCCGTACACATACGATTTTGCGATCGGATGCGCGTTGGTGATCCAGTGCATGACAAGGAAACCTTGTCATGAAGCATACACTTCCGATGTGCCGAGTGCGATCACTCGGCAACACGTCGCTCATGGTCTATACCGACCAGGCGACGTTGCGGGCAACAATGAAGTCGCCGCACATCTCGTCCTTCGGGCGAGATGGTTTCCCCCTGATGTACGACTTCCGGGTCCACAAAACCCGTAAGGTTGCATGTCGTCGCACATGTGTTGTCGCGACGACTGAAAAATTTTCCACGGAGAAGGCTGCGTTTGCGCTTGACGCAGACACAAGAGCTGATCGAGTTTCTCTCAGCTCCTTCCGACACGGTACGTCGGAAGTTGGCCTCTCACTTACGAGCAAGTGCACACTAGTACCGTGTGCACGTCTACTTTACGATGTAAGGAAGACGGGTGTCTTCCTTTTTAAGTGGGGGAGGGGCGATACGGTTGATGTCGATCAACCGGAGAAGACAACGGATACGGACATATTAGTTATAAGGACATGTGCGAGAGCGAGATCCCGCACCAGGCAACCCGATACCTCAGAAGAAGATGTGTCAGTGTCCAGCACTGACACAGTGATGTTACGTGCGAGAGCGAGAGCCCGCACGAGACAGCGCCACGCTGTGGCCCAAGGTGACGTGTCAGTACCGAGCACTGACACTGTGTACGAGCAGGCGGAACCTGCTAAGACCAATGGCAACGGGTCTGTGCCGGGCACAGACACCGCGAAGAACCATGCATATGCAGAGCCTGTTGCAAGCACAAGTGATGTATCACTACAGGGTATTGATACTGAGAAGTCTCACGCACAGACAGGGTCTGTTGCGATCACGTATGTAGTATCAGTGCCGGGCACTGACGCTACGAAGAGCCACGCACAGTCTAGGACTGATGCGAACACAAGGTGCGCGTCTGTACAGGGCACAGACGCAAACACGGTCAACTAGCTGAACCCGGGGTTCAGCTCTCAAGTGCTGGACTTTGTCCAAGACGCGATTTTTTGCTTAGACAGTCAACGGACAGACTGTCTTGGCATCCTCAAGGTACTTCTTCTCCTGGAGCTCGAAGTACTTGTCGACAGAGAAGTTCTCTGTCGTACCACTTGGGGGTGTCGGTGTTGCCGCCGACACAGGCGCTGAAGCAGGCACCGACACGGAAGTCGGTGCGGCCGCGGGATCAGCCGCAGGCGTCGAGGAGCAGGACGCCAATCGATAAGACGATAAATACGAGACGATAGCGACGAGGATAACCTGTTCTGTCAAGACGATGATGAAAATGACGCCACAACAGAGCTGGCGTGGCAGATCCGTGAGCTCACGGCAATGGAAGAGATGGATCCGACTCCAAGGTTCGAGATCGCTCAACATCGACCGCTGGGCAAGATCACTCCTTTCCGCGGTAGACTGGACGAGAGGGAGAACTCCATGCAGTGGTTGTGTACGAAATGAAAGGAACACACACCTCCCAACGAATGGTGCATGGTTTGCCAACTGAGTCTCAGAGATGATGCCGTACACTGGCACAGAGCTTTATCTCGAAAGACGAAGCGCACTTGGAGTTTGCTGAGTGACAAGTTCATCAGCTACTACTGCTCGGACTTCAGTCAATCAGCAAGCACTCGGTACTATCGAGCCAAGCGGTCGGAGAAGGAGCATATTCGCGACTATCTAAACCGACCGAATGACTATGCACGCAGTGGCAAGATCAGGTTCGAGCGCAGCGGTCGTGAGGCGAAAGAACATGTCAAACATTTTTTGAAGTCGTGCGGAGATCAAGCTCTCGAGCGACAACTCACTCCTATGTAGTTACGTGATATTCACACGCTCGAGGATATCGTTTGCGACATCCAGAAAGTGGAGAACCGAGTGTCAAGCCGCTCATCGAGTCAAAGTTCGTCTAGGCGTGACGATAAGCGTCACACCAGTTCAAGTGGAAATTATGGACGCCACGACAGTCGCAGTCGTAGTCAAGAGAGGAGTCGCAATGAACCACGCCACACTTCACGTGTTGCGCTGGTCGATGTATCAGTGACAGACCTCATCGCTGAGTTGCAGACTCGTGCTTCATCAGAAAGACCCGACGAGTACTCAAACGACTACTCGAATGATGATCCGATTGGCTTTTATGAAGGTGATGAAGCTGACCAAGATGCGTGTGACAGCGATGGTGGTTCAAGAAACGAAATACTGGGTGAGGATACTTACTCTGACCAAGACGAGAGACTGGTTGCAGCTG